ACGTACATAATCTTTATTGTTTTTTTCAATCAATAAATATTGACCAGTGCAGCTTATAATGTTTAACAGTGATAAAATGCAAGCGTAATTTCATACAGTGAAACCCTTAATAACGAATACATCAGAAGAATTTATCAAATGTCGTCTTGACAATTATTCAACGAGTTCTATACTATATTACGTAAATTTCAGTATTTGCGAAAATAAATAAATAGCCATGAATATGCGGGAACAGTTTTAAAGAGTTCCATATAATTATTTAATTAAAAAAATAAATATCTGCAACATTCCATTATCAGAAAGTGAAGAATACGACATTTGATGAATTCTTTCGATGTATTCTTTATTAAGGGTTTCACTGTATGATCATCCATACAAAAATGGCAATGCCCGATAAACAACGGTACCCTTAAAGGCTTTGTCTAATGTTTCTTTAAACTGTTTTGCGTGTTCTCTGCAAAAGTCACTTGTGTATTTCTGACTTTTCAAAAGCAATGGATAAATTATCGGGATTAAACACTTTCGAGTCAGAAAAACGACGTTATCTTTCATATTTTTAATCAGTTTGAAAATCGGACATCACCATCTTTTCATGGAGCTGGTCACTTGAAATTACTTTTACAATCCCTTTTTGAATAGTATCTGTGTAATCTGTGGTATTTATAACTGATAGTATCTGTGTAATCTGGGGTAGTTATAACTGTTCTGTGCTTAGTTCATGAATAGTATCTGTGTAATCTGTGGTATCTATAACTGTTCTGAGTTTAGTTCATGAATAGTATCTGTGTAATCTGTGGTATCTATAACTGTTCTGAGTTTAGTTCATGAATTATATCTGTGTAATCTGTGCTATTTATAACTGTTCTGAGTTTAGTTCATGAATTATATCTGTGTAATCTGTGGTATTTATAACTGTTCTGTGTTTAGTTCATGAATAATATCTGTGTAATCTGTGGTATTTATAACTGTTCTGTGTTTAGTTCATGAATTATATCTGTGTAATCTGTGGTATTTACAACTGTTCTGTGTTTAGTTCATGAGTAGTATCTGTGTAATCTGTGGTATTTATAACTGTTCTGTGTTTAGTTCATGAGACGAACAAGGATGAGGAGAGCGAAGAGAAGGCTAGACTGATCAGAGAAACCTTCTTGAAAAACCTTAAGCAGGTAAAGTAAATCAAAAATATGTGTGTGTATTTGTAAACTCCAATTCTCATACTTTCTATCTGTAAACTCTAGTTATCCTAATTTATATCTGTAAACTCCAGTTCTCCTACTTTCTGTCTGTAAACTCTTTTTTTTGTCCTACTTTCTATCTGTAAACTCTTTTTCTCCTACTTTCTATCTGTAAACTCCAGTTCACCTACTTTCTATCTGAAAAATCTAGTTCTCCTACTTTTTATCTGTAAACTCTAGTTCTCCTTTCTATCTGCAAACTCCAGTTTTCCTACTTTTTATATGTAAACTTTAGTTTCTACTTTCTATCTGTAAGCTCCTGTTATATTAGAAATCTGTAAATTCTAGTTCTCCTACTTTCTATCTGTAAACTCCAGTTCTTCTACTTTCTATCCGTAAACTTTAGTTCTCTCCACATATTTATAACT